TTCCTCGTCCTCCTCGTCCTCGTCCTCGTCCTCGTCCTCGTCCTCGTCGTCGTCGTCCTCCTCCTCCTCCCTCGCCCCCCTCGCCCCTGCCCTGCTCTTAATTCCTTCTCTGCTCTCTGCTCCCTGGACCGCTTCAGCTGCTTCCTTCCTGTGAAGTCTCTTGCTCGTCAGTGTTCGCGGGGTATCGCAGGGCATGTTCTCCATGCTCACCCTCGTCGGCAACTTGACGCCGGTGCTCATCGGGTTTCTCTCCTCGCGTCTTGATCTCGGTGCCTCTCCCTGCTCGCCTCTCTCGCTGACTGACTCCCTCCTCCTCCTCCCGCCCCTCCTCCTCCTCCACCACCTCTTCCCGCCCCTCCTCCTCCACCTCCACCTCTTCCCGCCCTTCCTCCTGCTCCTCTTCCTGCCTCTCTCATCTCAGGCATCTCCATCGCCATCGTCGTCTCTCTCGCTTATCTTCTCTCGGGCTTCGCCTTCCTTTTCGCTGCCTCGTCTGCTCGCACAGCCCTCAAGTGAGTTGCCGGCTCTGCTAACTTTATATACAAACATGACATGACATGCAACATAAACAACCGGATAGACGAGATGAGGATAACGGAAGACGCGGAGGGAGGGGAGGAGGGAGAGATGGAGGGAACAGAGGGAGGGGAGGAGGGAAAGATGGAGGGAACAGAGGGAGGGGAGGAGGGAGAGATGGAGGGAGCAGAGGGAGGGAGGAGCAGGAAGGGAAGGGTTTGAATCATAGGTGAATTTTCTCCCGTCTTGCCGTGTCACGTGAGCTGGCGAGCTCCTCAGGAGTATGACTCTCCTCCTCCTCCTCCTCCTCCTCCTCCTTCTCCTCCTTGTACCCCTGCTCCACCCGCTTCTCCTCTTCCTCCTCTTCCTCCCTCTCCTCTCCCTCCATCGCTTCGTCAAATTGTCGGAGCAGATTCACCCTTCCGAGCTCCTCGGGGATTTCCTTCTTCGCTGCCTCAGGCCCTTTCACAGCCTTATCCCTGTTCTCGTCATGTTCCCTCTCCTCTCCTTCCCCATCCTTCGCTTTCTCCCCAGCCATTCGCACCTGCATCGTCGTCAGCGATGCTTCTCTTCCCCAAATTCTCCTCCTCCTCCTCCTCCTCCTCCTCCTCCTCCTCCTCCTTGCTTACCTCCCCTTCACATATACGACGATCTGTGTGTATCATCAGGAGAGCAAGAGAGAACCAAGACGAGAAATGATGGAGAGATACAGCGGAATGACATGAAGCAAGCACGGTGAAGCAAGCAGAGGAAAACAGAGGAGAGGGAGAGGAGGAAGAGAGAGAAGAGGCGAGGAGAGGTGATGAGATGGGAGGCGAGAAAGAGGAGAAGAAAGAAGAGGGAAGGGGAGGAAAGGGGAGGAGAGAAGAGGAGGGATGGAGTACCTTGGGGCGGGGGCTGTTGAGTGGTAGGACGACTGGCTTAACATGAGGAGGCGGAGGGCCTCTGAGTTGAGACAAGTCAAGGACGCAAGGAGAGAGCAAGTAACAAGAGGTAAGAGAGGCGGCGGAGGGAAACGGAGAAAGATGATAGAGGAGAGAAAGGTGGGGAAGACAGTGAGATAAGTGAGGAGAGGAAGAGGAGGAGGAGGGGAAGGAGGAGGGGGAGGAGGAGGAGGAGGAGGGGGAGGAGGAGGAGGGAGGAGGAGGGAGACCTTGGAGGGGTTGGGATCAGACATCGTGACGGGAGAGGAGAAGTCTGCAAATGATCTGCGATGACTTGAAGATCTCGAGATGCAGGGGAGGAGCCACTGCAGACCTTAGGAAGAGTTAGGAGGAGGGAGGAGGGAGGAGTGAAGAGCAGGAGGGAGGAGGGAGGAGTGAAGAGCAGGAGGGAGGAGGGAGGGGAGAGAGAGAGTGAATACTTGTACTCTGCTTCTCTCCTTGGCTCGTGTCTCGTCAGCCTTCTTCAGCCTTGTGCTCGTTCTCTGGTAGTCTGACTTGCCTGCTTGAGGGGCAACGGGTGGAGGACGGGCAGGGGGTGTCTTCAACGAGTATTCCCTCTCTTCTTCATCTGCTGTTGCTCTTTCCTCTCCCCATGCAATTTTCACTTCAGGCACAGGTTCTGCCTCCTCCTCCTCCTCCCCTGCCTCCTCCTCTTCCTTCTCCTCCCTTCGACCGCTTGACGCTTGTCGATGCAGCTGCAGCTCCCGCAGGGTCATAGCAAGCCTGATGTCATATGAGGCGGCGAAGTATGACGAAAGCGAGAAAGGAGGAGGAGGGGGAAGGGTGAGAGGATGAAGAGGAGAAGGTTACCTTTCAAGCTGCTGTGCCTGTTCTTCTGCTCTTCTACTGTCAGCATCCTCGTAGATTCTGAAACCCTGTCACGTTGCTAGCACAACCTCCTCCTCTCTCACCCTCTTCGCCTGCCCCCCCCCCCTTCCTCTGCTCTTCCTCCTCCTTGAGCATACCCCTCCCTCCCTCCTCCTTTAGCATACCCCTCATCCTGTGCTGCTTCCGTGAGATTCGCTGCGTGTCGGACGCTCCTCGACTCCTTCGTCCTGCTAGCGAGTCGGAGAGATCGAGCCATCTCTTGGTCTTTGACCTGCCGCCAGACCTCAGCTCTCATGCTTCCTCTCCTCTTCCTCCTCCTCCTCCCTCCTCCCTCCTCTCTTCTCTTCGCTTTATCTTCTCCCTACCTCATAGCACTTTCCCGCTTCATCCTCCTCTGCCTTTCTCTCCTCCTCCTCTCCCTCTCTCTTCTTCCTACCGAGGATGTGTCCGAAGTGATATCCGACGTGCTCGACTGACTCAGTGTGTCCTCCTCCTCCTCAGGCTCTTGCGCCCTGTCGTCGCAGGTCATCGGATCGACGAGGAGGCAAGGGGGACCACGAGGAGGGAATACACGAGGAGGAGCAAGAGAACGCAGACAGAGATAAGCTGGAGGAGAAGGTTGAGAAGTTGAGGGGGAAGAACATACCTCCTACTCGACTTATGCTGCCGGTGCCTCCTCATCCTGCTCGCCTTGTCATTCGCTCTCCGATCCTCTACGTTGCTACCTATGAGCAGCTGCCGCATCCCTCCAGCTTGCTTCCGAAGAGCGAAGAGGAGGAGAGGAGAGGAAGGGAGACGAGTTGGGGGGAGAGGAGGATCGGAGAGGGGAGGAAGAGCTGTCTCCTCCTTCCTCTGCTCCTCCCGTGTCCAGTCGCTCTTCCGCTGGTTCGATCCCCTGACGAGACTTCAGCGACCTGCCCTAGCAAGAGCCCAGCAAGACCGGGAGGAGGAGAGGAGGCAGAAGGGGCGGAGGTGTAGGAGGAGAGGAGCAGGGGAAGGAGGGCACAAAAGGTTGGGCGTGGAAGAGAGAGAAGGAGGAGAGAGGAGGAGGAGGAGGAGGAGGAGGAGGAGAGAGGAGGAGGAGAGAGGAGGAGGACGGGGGGAGATACCTCGTAGCAGTCTAGTCCGAACTCGTTCCGTATCTTAGGATTCGCCCCTGCCCCCCCCCGGTCACTTTCCATCGAGGCAGCTCAGCCTCACCTTTTGACTCCAGGTAACTTCCCAGCTCCATATACCCGAAGGCGTAACAGTAGTGTAACGACGTCTGCAAGACCCCAGCTCAGTGCCAGCTGGTCTAACAAGCTGCACCCACCTGACCACGGAAGTTCTGCGCGTTGATGTTCGCTCCTCTGCGGCAATAGACGTCAGCTGGGAAGGGAAGGACGCGCTAGCCACACCTTCTCAAGCAGATCTTAGTGATCCTCTTGTTCCCGTTCTTGCAAGTACGGTTCAGACCCTCCAGCAGCTTTCGAGCTGAAGGTTGTTTACCTGAGCCGCTATGATGAGAACGGTGTTGCCGAACTCATCGCGCAGGTCGGGCGACAGCCCTGAAGCAGCTGGGGTGAGTCGAAGGAGACGGAGGGGAGTAGCGACCACCGGAGTCCAGCAGGGCCTCGACCTCCTTGTACCGTCCGTGACGGGCTCGGCTGAAGAGAGTCTTGAGATCGTCCCGGTCGTCCTCGTGCCTCAGCTTGACACCCACGTCATCTCCTGCCGCGAGCTGCCTCAGACGGGAACGAGAGCGCGACTGACATTCACCAGTGCTTGTCGCCTCCTCCGCGTCCGTCTCCGAGAACCTCGACGCTCTCCTGTCGCTCCTCGTCCTGCTCGACTTGGCGGAGTCGCTCGCGTCGCTCCTCCTCGCCGGGCTGTCTCGCAGTGAAAGTCCCGACGCTCGTTTCTCCAGCGTCTGGACTTTGCGGTGCAGGTCTTGAGCACCAGCCCCTCGTCGCCCCTCCTGGAACTCTTTCGTCTCATGCAGGAGTTGTTGGATCCGGTTCAGCTGCATCCCCGTGAGCTCCAGCTGGGGTTGTCGCCTGAGCTCACCTGGTACTTGATCTCCGTGTCGAAGTCTCGAGAGCCATCGCGCAGGTGGGGTCGATCATGATCGCGCAGTAGCGCTGAGATCTTCTCGATCTGGTCTGCTCCACAAGGATCAGGAGCTGGCAAAACGTTCACAGCTCAGCTGGGGCATGCCTTGGATCTCGGCTTGGATCGCCTGCTCCTTCTCCTTCTTCACCCGCTCCTCCTGGTCGTGAAGCCATCGAGTCGCCATGGTCGACATGAAGCCTGAGGAGGCTGAGGTCAGCCTCTGTCTCGTCATCTCACTGACCACCTGGAATCGACGGGACGGTCTTGGTGATGAAGTTCCAAGTGCCAGTGCGGCTGACTGGAAGCAGGTCAAAAGAGCGACCAGCCTCGCGACCTATCGCACCTGCTGTCCCCTCGCTCGCCACCTCCGCTGCTTCCTCTCCTCTTGTCCATTTCCCCCAGCCAAACTCGGACATTCAACGAGCTTCAGTCGTGCTTGCCCAGCTGCCGCCTAGGATCTCGATCGCCTCTTCATGGTCCCCTGCAGCAAACAAGTCGACTTGTCTTCTGCATGCCTCCTCGGCACGCGCACCGCAGGCTCGCTCACTCGGCACATCACATGCTGAGAAAGGCAGGCACGAAGCTCATCTTGCCTTCTTCATGTGCCCTTGACTGCCTGCACGCAAGGCTGTCAAGTGAATGCTTGCCTTCCACGAGCTTCCGCCAGGTACTGCCAAAAGGACGCGGTGCTGGTAAGTAACAGGCGAGGAGAGAACAGATAATGCTCTAGTATCTTGCTTCACACACTGCATGCCTCTGTACATCTATCCATTTCTCGTAGGCGCATGCTGAACTTTCTGTTGCCCCCAAACTCCGCACTTCATATCCTTCCTTTTCGTCTGCACATCCTCATTTCTGCTCTGTCCTTCCGTCCCTCTCCTCGTCTGCTACATCATACTCTTCGTGTTGTTTGTTGTCTTCAATGACCTTTGCTTATCCTCTCACCACTTGCTCTCATCGTATGCTCTGTGTCCATCTCGGCATTTCGCTCAATCTTTCCTGTCCCAGTACTTCACATCCCTGATACTTTACCTCGACTCCTGTCTCTCTCCCTTCCCTCCCTTGTCTTCTATCCCCTTTCCATGCCTTGTACGTTTCGTTGCCATTTTCTCTACCTCCTTCCTTCGGCGTCCTAACTTCTTTTCCCTGTTTCCCGCCCTCTGTCCTTATTTCTAACCTGCTCGCTTCCTCCCACTGCCACTTCTTCTTCCCCTTCTTCGTCTTCCCCTTCTTCTCCTTCTTCTTCTTCTTCTCCTCCTCCTCCTTCTACATCTTCTCTCTCTTCCTCCCTCTCCATTGCTCCTGTTCTCTCCTCTCCCTGCACCTGAACTGCATTGGCCCTGCCAGGCAGCCATGATACAGGCCATGCTGCAGGCCATGCTGCAGGCCATGCAGGCAGGCCATGGCCCATCGGTTATGCTGGGGGAGGAGGGTCAAATGGGTAAGAGGAGAGATGAGGGTACGGTCAATACAGTGACGCAACCGGGCCGGCCCGGCCCGTCGCCGGGCGTGCGGCCCCGGCGGGCCGACCGTACCGCCGAAGTCAGCATGATCCGCCGGGCGCCTCAGGCTACTAGCCGCTCGGCGCCACCGCGGACTCAGCCCCGGGCTCCATTAGAATCTCAGAGAACCCGAGAGGGTTCGCCGGGAGGGGACCGAGACACTACTACCTTCAAGTGATTTTACTCTGAGATCAAGGACTCGGATATCAACGACGACAATTGAACGGTTACTTCCTGTAAGTTACTCTAGTGTGTGGTAGGACACCTTCAGCCCCAGGCCTCCTTGAGGGCATAATCTATAACAAGCTTCCCATTGTTCTGAAAGCACTGGAAAGCACAGGAGCCGGGGCTGTCAGAGCGCTCACCCCGCCAAGGGATCCTGTTACCTTGTACAGGTCGCCCAGTTGCTCGTCTGGAGCTGGAGAGAAGGACTGGTTGATGAACAGATGCTGTTTGAAAGAGACAACAAGAAGCCTTAGCACATCTTTGCACACACGCAAGCAAAGCAAATACGAACCACCACAGCGTCTTTGTGAGCAGCGGATGTCCGGATCTTCTTTTGAATGTGATCAATGACGCGCGAGAATGGCGAAGCAGCGCTGGCTGAAAATTCTGTTGTTTTCAAGATAGGAGCATCACCGACATTCTTTGCAAATATTCTGACTGAGAGAAAAGTTTCAGAATGGCCACACACCCTCAATTGTGAATGACACCATACCTTTGTCGTCTTTCTTTCCAGTTGCAGCGCCTAGAAGACAAACTTACACCTTGTATGATTCCACAGGCGTGTAGTGGGTCTACCTGTAGCTGGACTGGCGAGATCAAGCTTGGAGCTCAACTCAGCAGACATGTTTGCGTCGCTATCAGCCTCAGCCTTTGCTGGTGAAGTCAAAGAATCTGCCATCCTACTGCGTCCGAACTGGAGCTATCAGTTGGCGTGGCCTGCTTGCTTCAACATTCCTGCAAGCTCAGTTATTCACCTCGATGGTTTAATTATAACACGACACGTAAGGTCTATCTTTGGTTCTTTGATCACACTTCCTATCTGCCCAAGCAAGCAAGCAAACGGCGTCAAAGAATTTGTTGCATGTCGACAGTGAATTGAAGCATATTGACACCTTCTTCTCGGCTCTTCGTCACACATGATGTCTCCTAGCTTTCTTCTGTTCTTATCTATTACCTCATCCTTCCCCCTCCTCCTCCTCCTCCTCCTTCCCTCTGTTTCATCGGCATGACTTGTCAGCCATGATGGCCAGCATGATGGCTGTGAGGCTGGGTGCGCGGAGGGATGAGGCCCAACTTTATCCGAGGCCCGGGGCCCGATTCAGTCGCATCCCGGTGCTGCCCGGCTAGTTGGTACTCTTCTGAGCCTTCGTGTACCCCCCAATAAACACGAAAGGTAAGTAAGAGAGGGGGGTGATGATAGTAAGTGAATCTAATGGTACTGTGGGGTTGGGGAGATGCTCTCACAATCCCCTTGTTCACCCACCCCTTATTTTCTCTAATTTACCACCCCTATCATAAATGACTACCACCCCCTATATCTAGTTTCCACCACCCCTTGTATTCCCTCCTATCCCACCTTTCCCTACCACATCACCACCCCTTGTTTTCCCTGAAAATCACCCTACGTTTCCCCAGCTGTAGTGGTTCCTAATCACAACCACCCCCTCTTTCCTGAATTAACGACTAGATGAGGGAAGGGTCATCTATTACTCACATCAGTGCCCTACCCCCCTTTTTATAATGCACACTACCCCTACCCACTCTTCTCCAATTCCCCACCCCTTTTTCCTCCATCACCCCCGCCCCCGTTTTACTTGACTCTACTACCACCCCTCATGGTCTTATTCCCCACCCCCCTCATCCCCGTCTCGCTCGGCACTTCCATGCACTTGTAAGAGCGATGGCGGAGGATCGGGGGCTGCGGCTGGCGGGCGGGTGTGTGCTCATCCTATGGGTGCTCGTCTTCGGAGGACATGCGCTCTTCACCTCCTTCCTCTCCGCCTTCGCCTCCCTCTTCTTCATCCGTAAGTTTGCAGCCCGGGGAGGGCGGGGTTTCTGAGCAGTGAGCATGAGAGCGAGAGGAGAGGGTGATGGCGAAGAGTCTGTGTGGAGGTAGTCACAAGAGATAAGGACACGTATAGTGACCTGGTGTTGATGCAGTGTGTGAGAGGTGAGGTGAGTTGATGAGGAGCTGACAAGCTTGCGGGGCATCGCAGTGGTCATCATCTACAAGATGCGGATGCATGAGATCTTCCTGCCTCTCCTTCTCTCTCGCTTTTCTCCCGCAAGCTCGGCGTTGGCGTCTCCTTCAGGTGCGAAGCTCGCTATGCTCGTGAAGCTCGTGGAGGAGACGCCAACGCCGAGGCACGAGAGCCTGAGCCTTGTCCCAGGGCTGTCACCTGTAGGATCCTCAACGCGTTGAGACTGGATGCGGCTGAGCTGGTGGGGCTGAGGGAGGAGGCGGGTGTGGTGCTCTGACGCCTGTGCAAGATCTGCAGCGGAGTGATCATCGACAACCCTCCAAACTACTCCACCTGCCCGATCTGCAAGATCCGAACCATCGAGATCATCTTCGACCCTGTCTCGCTGTTCACCAGGTAGGGCAGCCAGTCCTTGTGATCGCTTGTGCTGGCATGCCGAAAGACGTTTTGACATGATGGCAGATGTATCAACTTACAGTCAGTTTTGTTTGAGGGCATGGAGATCAACCTTGAGAGGAAGAATGGTCGTCTTGCTCCTCCCTCAAGCGCATGCTCGCTCGTCTGACAAAATTGCTGAACAGGCATGAACAACACAAAGGCGCTGAAAGTGATTTATGATGCAAGGAACAAGGCTAAGGCTGTCACTGACATGGTGATTGGATATCGTTCTCCTCGCTGCTCTTTCTCTGTTCCGCTGTTGATTGCAGTGTGACTGATACGCTGGTGTCGTGAATCCGTGAGATTGAGTTTCGATGTTGGGTCTGATGATTGAATGATGATTGATAGAACCAGGTCTGCCTCCGCCATCTTGTGTTCATTTGTGTCGCAATGCCTTCTCTTCCTTGTGTTATGTGTTGCAATGCCTTCTCTTCCTTGTGTTATGTGTTGCAATGCCTTCTCTTCCTTGTGTTATGTGTTGCAATGCCTTGCCTCCTCGTCTTGTCGAGAACGCTTTTAGCTCTTGGTGGATCGTGTCTCTTTCTTTGACGATACTCGTACAATCAGCTCAACATGAAGAGCGAGGACATTGTCTCCGACAGCGAGTACTCGGATGTCTCGGAGGAAGACGGGCAGGTGGAGGAGGGCACGGGAGAGGTGCGTCTCGCTCACAACTCGGATGCTGCTAGGTCGACGACGGGGCCTCGAGCCCATCAGAGCTCGCAAATGATCGCAGCCTGGGCAAGTTTGTCACTGAGAAGGCGCAAGTGGCTGCGGCAGCGGTAGATGATGATGATGATGAGGAGGAGGAGGAGGAGGAGGGGAGGAAGCGATGCTGATGCTACGTTAGGCGACGGCAGCAGCTGCAGTGTTGAAGAGAAACAAGGCTCTTTCTGTCGCAAAGTCGGCGTTAAGCGCGACGCTTCCTCTCTTGAGTGAGAAGCGACAAGAGAGAGGGAGGGAGGGAGGGGAGGCTAACGAGGGAGGGAGGGAGGGAGGGGAGGCTAACGAGGGAGGGAGGGAGGGAGGGGAGGCTAACGAGGGAGGGAGGGAGGGGAGGGGAGGCAGGGTTGGCCTGCTGATGCGGCTGATGACGTGACGGGTTTATGAGGAGGAGCATCGTGTGGGAGTTTGACTGGTTGGCAGACAAAACGTCCAAGGAAGATGAGGCGGGCAAGGATGCGAACACGGAAGTGAAGAGGAAGGAGCTGGTCAAGTCGCTGAAGCGTCTCATCTCTCGACTGTCGGGCTCCTCGTCCCTGGACCCGGCGGAGGAGGAGACGACAAAGACGAGCGAGGAGACGTTAAGATTGAGCGAGGAGGAAGTGACACCTTTATCTGCCAAGGCTCTTCGTGAGCAGTTGGAGGAACTGGGTGAAGGAAGGAAGCAGAAGTCGTTCGCGCTTGACGTTCTGAGCAGGTGTGGAGCTTGAGGATCTTGAGATGTTCGAAGAGCTTTGGACGTCTGACACAGTCAGTCTCTCTCTCTCCCTCCCTCTCTCTCCCTCTCTCCCTCCCTTTCGTACGCGGTGGGGTCTGAGGCGATCCGTCAGGTGTCAGGGGAAGCAGCGAACGAGTCAGCGGGAGGGTGATCTGCTCTACCCCCTACTTCCTGCCCTTTAACGTCCAGCAGTGATGACAGCGCTTTGTCTTTCCGCTCCAACTCCTACAGTCTGGCTCGCGCGTCAAAGGTGAGCAGGGGGCAAGAGGAGGAGAAAATCTCCCGCCTACGATCTGTGGTTGCTGCTCCCTTGAGTTGTTCTTGTCCTCGTCCTAAGCTACTGGAGAGAATCGTTCTTACCTCCCCTTGCAATCGATTGAACGCGCTGCTCTCCTTCCTGCACTCACTTGGGGGCGGCAGGGGCTCGTCGGAGGGATCGCTCGAGGTGTTAGCGAGAAGCTGAGGAGGAGGAGGGGGAGCAGCAGATCCTTGCAGCAGCGGGAGGAAGAGGAGGATCTGACCAAGCACAAGTGAGCATGACTGGAGGAAGAGAGTAGAGTTGCCCATGCTAAACGCCTGCAGGGTGCAGCTGGGGCTACCGACAGCGGAAGAGCTGAGAAATTTTGAAGGTCCACAGGCGGTCAGGTAAGTCACAGATGGTGAGCAGCACCTAAGTGACCAGTCCCAGCTCCAGTCCAGCAGTAGGGACTGAGCAGAGCACGGGAGGAGAGACGAGGTGAGGAGATGGTGAGGACGGTGTTGGTAATGAGCTGGTTAACAGCTGGAAAAGTCTCTTCTCGCCGAAGCTCAAGAGCTGGAGGAGGAGGAAGGGGGCCGAGGGCTCCTCCATGGGCGAGTCGCTCGTCTCCGATGCCTCCAGCCTCCCCGAAGATCGCGACGCTTACTCGCCCGACCAGTCGCCGGTGAAGCGAAGAGCTGAAGTAGCAGCTGGGGCTGGTGCCGTGGCAGCAGCTGTGGCAGTAGAGGTTCCTTCTGCTGTGATCCTCAGGAGCAATTCTTCGCGCGAAGGTCATGAGCTGATGGAATCGCCACGAATGTTTGGGGAAGGCACCCGGTGAGGAGCAGGAGAGGGGCAGGGGCAGGGGCAGGAGGAGCTGGAGCAGAAGAGGTGTTGGCAGCCGGTAATGTTATCGAGCAGGGTAAACAAGCCTGAAGGGAGGGCGAACAGTTTGCTGTACAGGAAGAAAATCAACGTGAGCAGATCAAACTCAGAAACAGGGTACAAAGAGGTAAGGGGCAAATTTGCTTCCTCTTTCTCCTCATCCTCGTCACCACGACCGTCATCATCATGAACAACAACAACAACAAAAACATTAACAACAACAACATTAACAACAAAACAACAACAACAACAACATTAACAACAACAACAACAACAACAACAACAACAACAACAACAACAACAACAACAACAACAACAACAACAACAACAACAACAACAACAACAACAACAACAACAACAACAACAACAACAAGCCCTCCTGACTCTGGTCCCAGGGCTCGAGGCAGATCCTCTACTGTGTGCATGGCGTGACTTTCCGGCACCTCAAGATGCATGTCAGCGCCATGCTCAAGGAGCTCGAGGGCGCCGGGAATTCTCCCAAGGTGACCGCAAGAGCTGCGAAGAGGCGCGTGACCCTGTCATGGCAGATCGTGACAGCTGGGGAACCTGCTGGGCTAGACGGGGACCTCATCTCCAGCAGCGACGCCATCAGCTCCTCCAGGCCGATGGCTGAGAGTGAGAGAGCAGATGCGCTGAAGCCTCTGGCGCTTGACCTCCTGACCCTGCACGCGGAAGACTTCAAGTGATGCCTCCCTCTCGTCTCAATCTCATCCCCCCATCCCCCTCCCTCCTCTCCCTCCCTCTCTCGTCCTCTCTCCCCTCCTCTAATGCGCGTGCCCAGACCCTCGACGAATGCGCAGCGACGCGACGGCATCCCAGCCAACGAGGTTGCGAGAAGAATCAAGGTGACGGTCCCGTCCCTCGCCTTGAGCTCGTCGTGATGGTGAGCAGGCGCGCTTGAAGCAGGAGATCCGCAAGCAGAACCGGGGCAAGTGAGTCTCATCCCTTCCTCCCTCCCTCCCTCCCTCTGACTGCCTGCTGGCAGACTGCTGGGTATGGGCGCTGGCGTTGGCCTCCGCTGGCTTCGCCGCAAAGTTCGCAACTACCAGCGAAAGAATCCAGCAGAAGAGCAGAGCTGATTATTGATTATTCATTCAACTTGTACTCTAGACTCCTTCCTCTCCCTCCCTCCCTCCCTCCCTCCCTCCTCGGGACCTTCCACTGCTTCACATCGCCTGGATGCTCAGGTATTGGGCTCGCTGGACCGACGGCAGCTCGGGGGCTCCCATGGCGAGGAGACTCTCGCTGACCGAGCAGAAGTCCGGCCTCTCCTCCGCCCCGTCTGCCCAGCACCTGGAGATCAGATCCGCGACCTCCTGCAGCAGAGCATCAGAAGCTGACGAGTCCGGAGACCAGGACAAGGAGAGAGTAGGGAAAGCGAGGGAGAGGAGGGAGAGAGTGGGAGCAATATAAGCGAGGGAGAGGAGGAGGAGAGAAGCTTACTGTTCGAGCATGTTGTGGGATAGGAGGACGGAGGTGGTTCTTGCTCACGCCAGTGACCTGAGTATGAGTCAGACGGGTCCTCGAGCTTCTCAGCGTCTCACCATCTCCTGGAAGGTCAGCCCGTTGTATGGCAGCTCGCGGGAGAGCATCTCCCAGAGGATGATGGCGAACGAGTAGACGTCAAGCTTGTGCGTCACCTGCTGCCTCGTCAGCCCGTCCTCGTCCCTGCAGCTCCTTGTCTTACTCGCTCTTCTCGCAGAACTTCAGGCGGCAGGTATACGGGCGTCCCTGTCGCTTGTCAAACATGCGAAACCCCCAGCAGGTTCTCACCAGCGACGATGTTCTTCTTGTCGATCTTCGAGTGATCTCCGGCGTGCGCCAGCCCGAAGTCGATCAGCTTGACCTGCATGGCGTCACCCGACCCGCCTTGACCCTCAACCCTCAACCACCTGCCCAGCCTCGTTGACGAGCACGTTGGAGGGCTTCAGGTCGCGGTGAACGATCTGCAAGCGCGTCAACGAGGTCACGGCAGCCGCAGCCTCGCACCTTCTTGGAGTGCACGTAGCTCATGATGTTGGCGAGTTGTCTGGGGCAGGATGTCAGGCAGGCAGGCGTCTCCTCCTCGCTTACAAGCTCAGCCCCAGCACCGTATCCTCCTCCAACGGCACATGCTTGTCTGCAAACAACGTGAGCGAGTAATCAAGGCGAGCAGGGAGAGGAGCAGGTAGGAGAGAGAGAGGAGAAGGGTGAGGAGGGAGGAGGAGAGGAGAGGAGGAGGTAGAGGAGGAGGTAGAGGAGGGAGAGGGAGGGGAGGAGGAGAGGGTCTTCAGGACCGTCATGGCACATCTGGTGGAAGCTTCTTCCGATCACGCACTCGAGGATGAGATGCTGGTCCGGCAGGTCTGTCAGCACCCCGTAGAACCGCGTGATGCCCTGCCATGCCGTCATCACCTCCCTCTAAGAGGACCTTTACCTCCTCCTCCCCTTCCTCTCCCTCCTCGAGCGGCTACCTGATGGTCCAGCGATCGCAAGATCTTAGTCTCGCGGGCGAACGCATCCAGCTGCTCCTGCCGGATCAGGTTGCGAAACCTCTTGATCGCCACTGGCCGGCGCCACCAGCCCATGTAGACCTGAGCGACGTCAGGCTCCCTCCCTTCCTCCCATCCTGGCTTTCTCCCCTCCCTCCCTCCACTCCACTCCACTCCACTCCCTCCGTCCCTTGCCTGCCTTCCTTCCTCGCCTCCCTCCCTCCGTCCCTTCCCCACCTCTGCGAAGGCGCCAATGCCAAGGACGCCGCCGACCTCGAGGTCCTGCTTCTTGACCTCATCCCGGTCATCCAGACAGTCTGCCAGTCTCTGCTGTTAGGCCCGCGCGTCCCTCCTTCTCTGCTGGCACCTTCTTCCAAGGCGAGCGCCTTTTCCTCCTCTTCCTCCTCCTCGCCCTCCCCTTGACTCTTCTTCGTCTCCAACTGGTTTGTCAGGAACTTCACTCTGCCTTGCAGCAGCGAGACTGCAGGAGCTCCTTCAGCCTCCTTCTCCTCCTCCTCCTGCGTCCTCTTGTACCTTCAGCTTGCACGGCCTTGTTTTTGAGATCAGCCTCGTGCAGCAACGCGTCGCTCTTGTGCAACTGTAGGAGCAGGTGAGCAGTGGAAGAGGAAGGGATCTCAACCTCTTGTTGTAGTTGCTGGATGGTCAGCGACTGCTCCAAGTGCGATGTCTTCAACGAGTTCAGTTCCTCCATCGCCTTGGAGTCGCCTAGACAAGACGCATCAACCCGCACGCCCCCCTCCCCCTCCCCTTGCCCATACTCTTGATCTTGGTCTCAAACTTTCGTATTTTGCTCAAGGTTGACTGGACTTCAGTCCTCGCATCATACAAAGACTGTCGTTGCTTTCTGAATTGTTCCAAGATCTTGTCTTTCAACACTTCTATCTTCTCTGAGTCCAGAAGGTCTTCTACTGTCATCTCGTCGCGACTGAAAGATCCGAGCAGCACTTCGCTGATTTGCAGGAACGCTTCCTTGTATGAGTGAACCAAGACTTGATGCTTGTCTGCATGACTGTCCAAGGCGCTTGCTTTTTGTTTTGGAAACGATTCATACGGATATTCATCCCGACCATTCTCGCTTGAGAAAGTAATTCTTTCGATGCTCTCATTGCGCTTCACCATGGGATCTGAAAGTAGCAAGTCACGCAGACATGACGAGCAAGAAACATGGTGTCAACAACCATCGCAGCAGGAGGACTGAGAGGTGTTGTAGTTGAGGTCAGTGTGCGACATGTCCCTAACCCAAGTCAGTCGCACCAACTCAACGTCTATCCCTCACTCGAGCGCGTCCGACTTGTGCTGCCTCAGGTTCTCCTTCTCAGACAGTCATCGCCTGCCCCCACCCACGCCTGCGCTTACCAGCGCCAGCTGTTGTTCCAGGTACTCGCCTCTCGCTCTGAGAACCAGGTTGTCTTCCTGCAGACTTCTCAACCCATGACGCAAGCAGCAACAACATCACTTGTGACTGCTTCAGCTTCTGCTCGAGCTCAGCGACGCGGCCCGCCAACACTGAGGTGGAGTGAGAGGAGCGCGAGGGCAGACGGTCAGCTCAGCTCACCTTGCACCTCCGTGTCGAGATCGTTGGAATCCTCCGAGTTGGACCTGCTCGAGGCATGAGATTCACGGGGACGAGGCAACTGACCGACCTGCTGGACTGAGAGCTGAAGATCTTGTTGCTGTCCCCGGCTTTGCTGGGGCTAGAGGAACGATCAGAGCAGACGATGCGGAACTTGTTGGCATTACCTTCTGGTGTGGATGAATAGATCTCTTGCGTCCTTGTGCATGCTTCTGTACTCACGTCGTTGCTCAAAGGAAGAGCTGTTGGCCAAGCCTGCGTCATCATCGTCATCCAACACGCTCTCATCCTTCTTCTAGATCTACCGGCCAACATCACGCGCTCATTCAGTCTTGACTGCAGTCGCGATATTCTCTCTAGCAACGCACTCGTGTGCACAGCCCTGACAAGGCAAGTCAGAGAGGAGGCAGATAGGTAGCGGTCTGCTGACCTTCCTCTGGGGTTGGGGCTGTCCAACGCGCTTCTGGAAAGGAGAGAGGTGTCATGTCTCCTCCTGCCCATGCTGTTGGAGTTGGAGCTGGTCGACATCACGGCGAGGCGAATTGAAGTTCAGTCACAGCAAAAGCATCAGACTGCAAGAAGCCACACGAGCTGCGCCGACCGAGACTTGGGCCTTGTGCTCAAGATGAAGAAGCTGACTGAATTCAAGGTGCTCTCGTGCGATGTTGCGACTTTATCTCATGGCAGTCAGCTCGAGACTGCGTGGAAGTCGGTGGAGGAAGAGGAAGAATGAGTTAGCAGAGAGGAGGCAGAGTGAGAACGGGGAGGAGGCAGAGTGGCAGCAGGGAGATGGATGGGAGGGAGAAGATGGGTGGGAGGGAGAAGATGGGTGGGAGGGAGAACAGCGCTACCAAAGGCGAGCAAGCGAAGGCGAGCAAGCGAAAAGCGACAGCAAGCAGCTCCAAGAGCTTCCAGGATGAAAATGCAGGAGGTCCGGGTAAGACAGGGTAGGGGTACTGAACTAGGGATTTTGAGGGGTAGTGCATGTGTTTCCAGGGGGTTGATACCGTTGAGGCCTGGAGTATCACCCTACCTCCTCGTGGCCCCACTAAAAGGACTTCCAAGTACCGGTCATTTTCAAAGGATGTGTACCCTACCAATTGTGCTACAGCTCTCCCAGTCCTTGGGTCCATATGATTTCTAGTAAGGGGGCCGCGTATTAGGGTGGGGTGTTACGAGTATTTTGAATAGGTAGGGGTGGTTGATGTCAGGGATATTCGAGTCTAGAGTGGAAGTTGGGTGGTGGGTGGTCTTTTAGCCCCTCATCCCCCTCCTCGTTTCGATTGAATCGGAACTCCAGGCTGAGTAACTGCGAACTTGACAGTGATCACCGGACCGGGCCCGTCAAGCCACTAGGCCCGGATTGTCGCAGTGAGTGCCGGGCCTGAGCGGCCCGGGCCGCCCGGAGCGATGCCGATGATGGGACTGAACTCTGAGAGTCATGAGCACGCCGCGCGGCAAGTTTGAAGCGCGGCCTTTCACTAGTCGGCTGGGCCCGGGGCCGAGTCCCGGACTCATGACATATCACCCTGGCACTGGCGGAACTTCCGTTCAAGTTTAGCGGCTCGCGCCGGCGCCGCGGCGGATCATATGCGGACTCATCGGCACCACTGCAGGTCAAAGGAGGGTGGGGTAGGAAGAGGGTGGGGTAGTATTGGAGGTCACAGTCGGCCGTACTCTTTACTCAAAGTTAAGTCAAAAATCACACCCACCCAGGGTGGGTAGAACAAGAATCTGGGGAATAAGGTGGGTGCTACCGTACATCGGATGGACGGGTCGGGTAGGGTCCATCTCTCTAGGGTGGGGGTAGTTGTTATGGTAGTCACTTTGGGGGACTAAACATCAGCACTAGTAGTAATTTCCGGAGGAGACCTACAACTACTAGTTATCATGCGAGGATATGGGTGGGTGTGGTCAAAGGGGAAAGTTGGGGTTGTGTGTGTAGGGGGTGGCATTACACTTTATAAGTATTATAATTGTTTGCGTTCGCTAGTAGGGGTAGGTGGTCTACTTCAGGTCAAAGGTTCCTAATTTTGAGGGGTGGGATTAAGAGCTTTGAGGGGGTGGGTGGTCTGGTCACAGAGCCCCCATCATCCTTTTATTGAGAGTCACAGAGGGTCGTAGGTGGGTACAATGTCAGTACCGGTGTATCGAGAGATGACTTTTGGGGGTAGGGTGCTCCTCCTGCCCGACGGTTGGAGCAGTCCATGGCATGATGGTTGACGCGGTGGAGGAGGGAGGGAAGGGTGGTAGAAGAGGAGGAAGGGGTCCGTGAAATGCCTGGTCATTCCAGGGGGTGGGATCACGAGACGAGCATGGTAGGGTTCAAGAACCACGAGGATGTGGTGTATAGGGGTAGGAGTAGGAGTGTGGGGGGGGTGGAGGTGAGAAATGGAGGGCTCCCTCTCGTTTTATATCCAGTAGTAGCGCAGATAGCCTTTTAGTCCTCTAGGCTTAGGGGTGAAGCAGACCCCATGGAAAGAGGGATATACGCTTGGAGAAGGGTAGGGTGTCTTGGTCTCTAGTAGGGTGGGGTACAGATACAGAGGTCAGAGGGGGAGGATGAATGTGAAATTTCAAGGGGTGGGTACTAAAGTCAACCAGGTAGGGGTGGATGTACCCCTGCGGATTTGGTGCGGAGCGGGGTGGTGGTGACAAGGAAATTTGATAAAGGGGCAGTATGAACTGCACCTGCCATATTAAGTAAAGTTATTGGTAGCTTATCAGTATAGCATTTATATAAAGTAAATATCTAGGGAGACAAGGTGGTCTTTTTGCCCATAAATTAGTAATATCAGGACCCCTCCAAACCCCGCAAGCTGTCGACCCTCGGCGGTCAGAAGGCCTGGCCGTTAGCTCCGTTAGGCTCCTCCTGCTCTTCTTGCCCTAGCGCTTCTGACCTTCCGCTTTTCTTCACTTCTTTGCCGTCCCTTTCCTCTCCTCCCTCCTTCCTTCTCCTCCCCTCCCATTCCTCCTTTGCTGTCACTCCCCCCCCCCCCTTCCCTCCTCTCTCCCCCCCACCCTTCTCATTGGTCCGCTCCCCGTTTCATTCCGGCTCGACCATTCTCTGTCTTCTGCTCCCCAGTTCCACCAGTTGCCTGGATAAGTTGTCTTCCCCTTTACTGTGTGGGCAATCTGGGTTCAGGTTCTCATCAAAGATCTCTTTCCCACCGGACGTGCAGTGTTTGCTCTTGACTCGGCAGTGATTCATTTCGGGGTCTGTTCGATCTTCGACCGTGCTATCGACCCTGCTAGCTCCATTCAACTGACACAGTACAGCGCCATGATCATGGACTGAGGTAGCGGTGATTCCATAACATATCTGTTCTCCGGCTTTCAAAAGATTGTGAGCCATGGCAGAAGGGTTCAAGTTTAGCATCGAAGACTTGAAAAAGTTTGTATTTCTGAACATCAATTATCGTCTGGGCCATGATGTCAAGAGCAAGGTTCTACCGAAGCTGGAAGAGATGGGGGGTTTTGAAGGCGTGCAGAAAGGGCTCAAGACGAACATGGGAGATGGAATCAAGGAAAGTGAATTGCAGATGCGTCAGCAAACCTACGGCAAGAATTATGTAGAGCCTCCTCCATTAACTCCTTTCTGGAAATTTTGTTGGGACGCTTTACAAGACCCTACGTTGCAGTTTCTTTGTTTCTCTGCCATTGTGTCTCTGGTACTTGTTGATGCAGCTTGTCTCACTTGATTCATGCTTGTGTTCGCAGACGGTTGGACTTGCTATCCCAGAGGAGAGGGTTTGTTACGGATATGTAGATGGCGTTGCAATTTTGGTTGCGGTCGCAGTTGTCGTTCTTGTGGGAGCTATTCAAGAGAGTGCGAAGGAAAGACAGTTTCGAGACCTGACAGATTCAGCTTCTGATGAGCTTGTGAATGTGATCCGAGAAGGCAGGCAGGTTAGCAGATCGCTGCTATGACTCTGCCTTTGCTTACTGTTTCATTCCAGATCAGAGTCTCGACCCGCGAAATTGTGGTGGGGGATTGCGTAGTGTTGTCTACAGGAGATATTATTTGTGCTGATGGTCTAGTGTTTGAGCGAAACACGCTCAAGATCTTCGAGGGAGCGTTAACTGGCGAATCTAATGCGATCAGCAAAGGAGCTTACGAGTTCCAAGAGAAAGGGAACTTCGAGGTGAGAGGCTCGTGCGGGGTTGACATGTGGCTCCTGATCCTTCTCCTCCTCTCAGTTGCCCACCGATGAGGATCTTCGAAAATTCTTCCCGGCCGATACGACCATGAGCTTGGAGGAAATGAAGAACGTCTACGAGCCCACGCCGCATCGAACCCCGCTTGTGTTCAAGGGAACTCAAGTGCAGGATGGAGAAGGCAAGATGCTCGTGATTGCAGTCGGTCGCAACACCTACGAGCAAATCCTGTTGGGAGACAAGGGGGATGACGATGCAGAAGACGATGAGTGAGCATTGATGACGCGCGGATGACCCGATGTTGACTGTCTTTGCCAGGTCTGAGCGCAGCATCATGCAGAGAAAACTTGATGAGATGACCATTCTGATCACCAAGGTTGGCGCATTCTTCGGTCTTGGGATCCTGTTGGTGCTTTTGATCAGTTGGGTGTGATGTTTGCAACCAAGTCGTGCTGTGCTGAGGTTTGGGACAACAACCGAGATTGGATGAAAATCATCCATTACATCATCACGGGAATCACCATCTTCGTGGTCGCCGTACCTGAAGGCCTTCCCCTTGCTGTCACGATCGCTCTCGCCTTCTCAGTGAAGAAGATGATGAGTGATCAGAACATGGTGAAGCACGGCAGTGCCGTCGAGACCATGGGGTCAGCCACGACCATCTGCTCCGACAAGACGGGCACCCTCACAACGAGCATGATGACCGTCATGGACTGCTGGATCGCTGGGAAGCCCGGAAAGCCCGAGGACATGAAGGGAGGGCTGAGCACAGACTTGAAGGAGCTTCTCTGCGCCGCCATGACCATCAACACGTCGGAGAAGACAGACTTAGTGGCGAAGACGACGAGGAAGAAAGGAAGTGACGGCAGGGAGGTGCAGGAAGTTGTCAAGCTTGACGGCAAGACTGTGGTAGCATACAGTGGCAACGCCACTGAGTGTGCGCTCCTCAAGTTGGTGAACTTCCTCTTCGACTACCGCGGGGAGGTCGGAGCGCTAGACATGCCCTACAAGAAGTACAGGACCGAGTTCCCCGAGTCCATGCCTGGCCGCTCCAGCATCACCTTCTCCTCCAAGCGCAAGCGCATGTGCACGCTGGTGCCCATGCCGGCGGGTTCGCCGCAGCCGTTTCGCTTGTACTGCAAGGGAGCGTCGGAGATCGTGCTGGGGCTGTGCACGACCTTCGCGTCAGGGAGCGAGACGAAGAGCCTGGACGAGAGCACGCGGTCGGACATCATGAACGCCATCGACGACTTCGCTTCGCAAGGGCTCCGAACCCTCGCGGTGGCCTACAAGGAGTTCCCTCAGACTCCCGTCACTGCTGATGGGAGCCTGCCCGACGACGTGGAGCAGGACCTGACGCTCATCGCCGTGCTCGGCATCGAGGATCCCTTGCGCGACGAAGTTCCGTCGGCCATCGCAACATGCAGGAGCGCAGGGATCGTGATCAGGATGGTGACGGGGGACAACTTGAGCACAGCCAAGGCGATCTCTCGCAAGGCGAACATCCTGACCAAGGAGGGCGAGGAGTCAGGAACAGAGATAGCGATGACAGGAGAGCAGTTCCGACAAGCTGTGCTCTTCGAACAGAACACGGACCATCCTGAGAAGTTCATCAACCAGATAGAGTTCGACAAGATCTGGCCGAAGCTTCGCGTCCTCGCGCGATCAACTCCAACAGACAAGCTTGTCCTTGTGACAGGCATTCAACGCAGCAGGCTTGTGATCGATGCCGGCAACGGGAACAAGCAGTCAAGGCAAGTTGTCGCCGTCACTGGGGACGGGACGAACGATGCTCCGGCGCTGAAGCAGGCTGACGTCGGCTTTGCCATGTTCATCAACGGCACTCAGGTAGCACAGCAAGCAGCTGACATTGTGATCCTCGACGACAACTTTCAGTCCATCGTCGCAGCTGTCAAGTGGGGGAGGTGCGTGTACGACAACATCTGCAAGTTCCTTCAGTTCCAGCTCACCGTCAACATCGTCGCCTGCGTCCTCGCGACCGTGGGGGCGGCGACGCTGACGGAGAGTCCCATCTCGGTCATCCAGCTGCTGTGGGTCAACCTCATCATGGACTCCTTCGCTTCCCTCGCCCTCGCCACTGAAGATCCGAACAAGTCGCCGGGTCTCAAGGAGCAGCTGCTGAATCGCTTCCCCTACCATCGCACAGCTCCCATCCTTTCCAAGGTCATGGTCAAGAACATGTTCGCCCACGCCATCTGGCAGCTCCTCATCCTCCTCGCGCTCATCTTCGGGGTCGGGGACATCTGCCAGATGGGCTCTGACGTCAACCAGTGCGCGGGAACTCCCGACCTCAACCTTCTCTTCACTTTGCGGAGCGGCAGACCCCCAGCCTTTGACAACGAGTGGCTCGCGTCGATCAACCCCTCCATCCATAACTGTATCCCTCTCTTCAGCGTCAGCGATAACAGGTCTCCTGCTGCTGCTGCTCGTCCTCCTCCTCCTCTCACTCCTGCACTTCCTCTTCCTCTCCCTCTCCCTCCTAATCCTCCTCCTCCTCCCCCTTGCCTGTCAGTGACTATGGCTCAGCTCCTTCATCAACGTGACCTCGCTGCCTATCGACTACAACGACTCTGGAGCACCCCCCTTCACCGGGCTGATCCCCTTGAGAGACAGGGGCTACTGCCTCAAGGAGGAGGGAGGATGCGGTACCAAAACCCAGCACATGACCATGGTTTTCAACACGTTTGTTCTGCTCCAGGTGACCCCCAGCTCAGTCTCTTTCTCGCTGACTTGCGGGCATGCAGGTTTTCAACGAAATAAATAGCCGCAAGATCCACAACGAATTCAACGTGTTCAAAGGTAGGAAGAGGAGGAGGAGGAGGAGGAGGAGGAGGAGGAGGAGGAGGAGGAGGAAGAGAGGTATGTGATGGCGCTGCAGGCATTCTCTATAACAATATGTTCCTCGCTGTCGTCATCGGAACTCTTGGGGTACAGGTCATCCTCATTCAAGTGCCCTCCATCAACTTCGGGTTCGGCTGCGCAGCGCTGGAGGGCTGGCAGGTAGGAAGGAAGGCCATGCTGGGCACTTGCGCTGACTTGACGTGCAGTGGGGCGTGTGTCTGGTCCTCGGCTTCTCGTCGATCCCCATGAACTTCTTGTTCCACTACATCCCCTACGACTGGATCTCCTTGGGCAAGTGGGCGGGGGAGCTGGAAGACTCGGTGATCGACGAGCAGCTCAACGAGAAGGAGGAAGAGGCCGAGAAGGAGGAGCATGCGATGCACAGTGGTCAGCCTGTGCATACAGTAGCGAACTGAGAAAGGCTCGTGGTGTCTCGAGTGTAATAAGACGAATAAGCTGTAGCGCTCCTCCTCTACTCGGTTGTTACGCTCTTGGCCAAGTTGCGGGGCATGTCCACGTCGCATCCTCGCATGACGGCGATGTGGTAGGAGAGCAGTTGGAGAGGAACCTGCGGTTCGTGAGGTCTAGACTGACGCAGGAGCAAGCGAGAGATGTTTTCCTACCACAGTGAGAATGGGCGAGACGCATTCTGAGACCTGTCGGGCTCGTTAGGTTGTGGGCGCTGCCATGGCGAGAGTACCTTGGGTATGTGGATAACGTACTCGCAAAGAGACTCCAGCTCCGTGTTGCCCTGACCCGAACCCTCAGCTGCTCGATCCGCCCAGCTCAACTCCAGCTCACCTCGTCTGTGATGGCGATGACACATCCTTTCCTCGCGCGAACCTGCGGCCTCATGTCATTCGGGGGGGAGGGGGGAAACGAAGAAGCACCTCCATGATATTGGACTTGACCTTGTCGTAGATGCTGTCCTGCATGGCAATGAAGACGACCTGCGCGAGTGTGAGCACAAGGAGGAGGAGGGAGGAGGGGTCGAAAGGAGGACGAAGTGGAGGTGGGGGAAGGGGAAAAGGTGGAAAGGAGAGAGCGGCTGACCGGCATGAGGTTGTCGATGAGGGCGATAGGGCCGTGCTTCATCTCGGCTGCTGGGTACCTGGCGGGCATGACGGGCGGGCAACAGAGGAGCCTCGCTCACCCTTCAGCATGGATGTAAGAGATCTCCTTCATCTTCAGCGCTCCCTCTAGAGCGACGGGGTAGTTGTATCCTCGGCCCAAGAACAGGCAGTGGTGCGCGTACCTACCGGCTAGTCAAGCCAGGTCGTCGATGGCTGGGCTCACCTGTAGACTTTTGCGATCTCGCAGATCTTGGCTTCGTTCTCGGACAGGATCTTGGTGATGCGGGAGGGGAGCTTGGAAAGCTCTTTCACCAGCATCTTGTACTCGTCGTCCGGGATCGTTCGTCCCTGAGCGATTCGCAACGCCAACATGGCGAGCACGAGGACCTGCGCCAAGTCACAGGGAGCAGCGAGAGGAGCAACGGGGAACAGACTTGAGCTGTGAAAGCTTTTGTGGATGCCACGCCAATCTCAGGTCCTGCCATGCCGTACTATCAGAGGGGGAGGACGAGGAGGGGGAGATGATGATGATGATGATGATGATGATGATGATGATGATGATGATGATGATGATGATGATGATGATGATGATGATGATGATGAGGAGGAGGAGGAGGAGGAGGAGGAGGAGGAGGAGGAGGAGGAGGAGGAGGGCTGGGTCGGCTCACCGGCATGGAGGTAGATGCCTCCGTCTGTCTCTCTCGCGATGGTTGACCCGACGGTATTGCAAATTCCGATCTCGTGTGGTGTCAGCGTGACAAGCAGAGCGAGGGTTGCGTGGGGGGCAAGGGCCGAGGTCTCACCACCAGGCAGCCAGCTTGCTTCGCGTGTCTGAGGGCCGCGAGAGTGTCGGCAGTCTCGCCTGCCATGGCGATCAGACGAGCTGAGAAAGGTCAACCGACTGACCGGACTGAGAGATGACCATGACGATGTCCTCGTCGGGCCGGAGCACAACGCTGCGATACCTGGAGGAAGCCACTTGACGGCAGCTGACGGCCGGACAGTTCGAGCTACCTGAACTCCGACGCGTACTCGATCTCGACCGGAATCTGTAGTTCAGCAGTCAAGGGCACAGTGAAGGAGATGAAGGAAATGGAGAGGACAGGAAGGGCGGGAGGAAGAGAGAAGGACCAGCAGCAGGCACCTTGCAAAGGGATTCCAGCATGTACTCGCCCACGAGCCCAGCATGCCAGGAGGTGCCGCAAGCGCAGATGATGATGCGCTTAGCAGACTGAAAAGACGTTAGGATCTCTCGCTCAAGGGATAGGAGGACCTGAAGTCTCTGGAGGAGAGTAAATTGATTGTCCGGAGGACCCACAAGCTGCTCGATCCCTCCGAGGTTGATGTGAGGGCTGCACAAAGATCAGACATGAAGCTCTGCTCCTCTACTCTCCTTCCTCCTCCTCCTCCTCCTTCCATTTCGCTCACCCGCTGAACTTCGGCAAGATCTCGGGATCTTCGTCTCCACGAGGAGAAGGAGGAGCAGAGGGATGGAGCTGCATCCAAGTCAATCCAACGAGGGAGGCAGGGACAAGAGGGAGCCAGGCACCTTGACACGGCCGCGCATGCAGTTCTCCAGGGCGACAGGCTGTTCCATAATCTCCTTCAACATGAAGTGCTTGAATCCTCCCTTCTCAATCTGCACTCTTGTCACCAACTTTCCTCCTGTTCCTCTGCTTTGACCTGATCCAACGTGCCCTCGAGCTCAACGATTGCGGGGTTAAGAGTAGTGCCTTGGGTGGTGCTCACCTACCATCCATCAATGTAGAGCACTAGAAGAAGTGGGAGGGAGATAGGGAGTGAGGGGAGGAAGAGAGTGAGGGGAGGGAGGGGAGGGAGGGAGGGAGGGAGAGGGTGGCATGGAGGGAGGAAGAAGGAGAGAGGGGGGCAGGGGGCAAAGAGAAGAAGTGGAAATGAAGGAAGGAACACAGCGAGGTCCTACTTGATATCCGACGTTGCGCCTAATCACAACCATCTCCCCATCATTAAGGTGGACAACCTGGGACAAGATGAGTTTGTTGAACAACAACACCTACAAGTATGTACGTGTCTCGTGTACTCGAGGAAAGCTGACGCATCGCTGGCAACAAACCATTCCTGCTCTCCGATTCCTGACACAAAGTTCGCATCTACTCGTGAACGAGGGTTGTTGAGTTACCGAGGATCAGAGGACTTCCAAGACGAGCAGCGATGAGGATGTCCTACCGGGTACATGAGACCCTGCGGGTGGAGCAGCAGGAGATTCACCGGGTCATCGCGGGAGCAGATGCAGATGCCGTAGGCTCCCACCACTTGGCTCAGCGCCTGTCTCACGGCCTCCTCCAAGCTGAGCGGCCGATGTGAGGGATGATGCGAGAGGATGAGGGAACGTGAGGTAGGTGAGGGAGGGAGGTGAGGGTGGGTTAGGAAGGTGAGGAGAGGTGAGAGAGGGAGGGATGTGGAGGATGTAGGGGTTTGAGCATCACCTGAGTCCAGTAGACTTCATTACATCTTCGATCAGCTTGACCAACACCTGGGTCATCGTCAGGCCTGAGGCAGAGGAGGAGCGGTAGGAGGCGGCTTGACCTCGGTGTCCGTCTCAGAGACAAACTTGTAGCCCTTGCGCATCAGAGACTCTCGGAGAGGGATAAAGTTCTCGATGATGCCGTTGTGCACGAGAGCAAACCTACAAGCCGTTTAGATCCAAGCAGCAACTTCTGCTCGTTCTACCCTGAGTCAGAGCTGAGGTGAGGGTGGGCGTTCCTCTCGTTCGGCTCTCCGTGAGTGGCCCATCTCGTGTGTCCGATGCCGATGTTTCCCTCAACAGTGGAAGCAATGGACTTGAGCTCCTTCACCTTGCCGACCTGCACGGCCGCTGTCATTCCTCCTCATTTTCAGTCAATCTCTCCGACCTTCTTCTTGACTGACATCTTGCCCTTGTTGCAGATGGCGATCCCTGCACTGTCGTATCCTCTGTACTCAAGTCGAGCAAGCCCGCCGAGAAGGATCTCAGCTGCTTCCTTCGACCCGAGGTATGCCGTAATTCCACACATGTTGTATGATTCCCGAGCTGAAGGGGGTTTAAACTCGTCAGCACGAGCACAAACTCAGCCTCTCGCAGAACCAGCCTCACACATCATCTTCCCCAGAGTCACGCTCATAGTCATGCTCACTCTCACCCTGCCATGCTCTCTCACTCGCTGCCTCCCTCGCTCTCAGCCGGGGTCCTCTTTGTCCTCGTCCTCGTCAGCTTGCATTTCCCATCCATCCCTCAACATGGATATACATCCGAACCCTCTCCATCACTCGCGCACGCTCTATATCGCCTCTTGTTCCTTCGCTTGTTGTGCCGCTCCTCCTCCTCCTCTCCTCCTCTCCCGCACCCCCTCCCTCCATCCAGCTCTCCCGCCATGTCTGCTGGGATTGAACAGAAGGACAGATGGAGGGGTACCTCTGATGGGGGGGTACCATGGTGGTGTATCTAGACCAGGAGGTCATATGAATAGTGGGTGATAGATTGGAAATTACTGGGTGGGGTGCTAAATTAGGGGTGGTAGAGGACGATCAAAGCAGGTTGAAGGGGGTAGGGTAGGCATGTGGGTAGAAAAATGTTGTAGACCGCTAGGAAGGGGAGGAGAGAGGGGGAGGAGAGAGGGGGAGAGAACGTGAAAGGATGGAGGGTGGAGGATGGAAGGAAAAGAAACTCAAGACAGTAAGAAGGGATCGGCGGCAGTGGCGTGAGCATTGGAGAGAGGTGGGCATGTATCGATGGATGGAGAGGTCGACAAAGGACAACATAAGGAGAAATGTGATGAAGTTGTTGGTTCTGAATCTTTGCTAGCTTGCCAACACAACACATGAACAATGTTCCCAACATCAGCATGCCCAACAGGCCGCCAATCCTTCCGACGGTGAGTTCATTACCGTCAGCCACAATCGTAGCTGAAGAGACCGCATGATCAGCCGCAAGCCATGCTTCAGATCAATGCATCACAGATCAATTCACAACAGCCCAACGATTTGAGGAAGGTGAGCGCCTGCTGGCAAGGAGGACCCGGTTCTCATCTTTCGCTATCAAGAAACTTGAAGCAAGGAAAGTGTCGAGCCATCCTGCTGTCGACCTCGGATCGCGACTGAAAGCATCGCCCATCCCCGCAAAACCCGTTGGCCCCCCTGCCTGATGCGACTGTGCTGATCTGTCCTGCTAGACATACGCATATGCCAAGTTGGAGGGGCCAAGGCTAAAGCACTTCATCGTCACGTCCTCTGTCGTGCTAGGTCGAAACAGGTCGGCAGAAGCCATCGCCCTCCCGAGCTCTCACCTCCTCCTCCAGGATGGTGCAGAAAGGCACGAACAAGCGCAAACTTGGCGAGATGCAGGCAAGCAATCAGGATGACTCGGGTAATGATCGAGTTGTTGTGGTGTATGATGCGTCGGGAACATTTGATATCGAAGCTGCTGTATCTGCTCGCTGTATCTGCTCACTGTATTTGTTCAGATACAGTCAGCGATAGCTTTGTGGGGCTGGGATGGAATACCAACATATCGAAGAGGCACATTGAAGTGACAGCAGACGACTCGAGAAGCTCCTGCTGATCTTTTTCTTGCCAGATCATGTTTGACTTCCGCAAGCGCAGCTGGGTTTTGCTCTGCTACGGCAAGAATGGCGTCTGGATCGATTCAACCTTTGTAGATCAGGTGGGAGTCTGCTGGGGTAGGCGATCATGATGTTTCTCTGAGTTCTGATACACAGAACTCTCCCCCCTGGCGGTTGTTGAAGGGCAAGACAAGAATCTACGTGAGCGGGCCAGCTGCCTCGTCCTGTCCTAACGGCCCTTGGCAGGTTCCCGGAGCTCACTTCTTCTACTTCTTGTGCCCTGCGAACGCTACGGGGAGGTCGAGTGAGAAGCTCGTCGGCATCGGAAGTGATGTGCTGCTGCAGTGACGGGGGTCCTGAAAAGCCTGTCGAATCCTTCAACCACATCGTCGGGCAGGTGCATGGAGGTGGGAGGGCTTCGGAGGAGGCTCAGCTCTCCTCCAGGTGCTGGCGACAAGCAAGGACAGGAGGGCGAGTATGGTGGAGATAGTCGAGAGCATCAAGAAGAAATTCCCCTTCTACGGGTGCAAGCTCGATCCTTACTGGGGCTCAATCTGCTGACTGCTGCACAGCAAACAACCGGACGCGCTGCTGAACAACGCCGTGAAGCAGTGTTTGACCAACAACAAGTGCTTCTCCATGGTCGTCAGGTCCCTGCCCTTCCAGCCCCCATGGCCGTCTTATTCTTCCCCGCAGTGACCAGCACGAGGACAACCACCAGGCCGCCACATGGACTGTCGATGCTTTGGTAGGGGAGGGCAGGCACCTTGTGCTCCTCTGATTCCCTTGGTACAGGCACTCGCTGAGCTGCTCGCCGAGAAAGCCATCGAACATCCAGAGAGAAGTAGCCATGCTCCTGTTCAATCTCCTGCTGCTCCTTCTTATCCTCCCCTCGTACTCCTTTCACCATTCTTGCTCCCTCTCCTTGTCCCGCAATGCGTACTATCTACTTCCCTTCCTCGTTCATGCTCCTCTTCGCTCTTGCCTCACCTCCACCTCGACTGGCTGACGAGCACGGCAGCACTAGCTCCTGCTCCTCCTCCAGCACCTACAACCTTCACCCCCAAGACTGAAGCGACGGCGACGGTGATGCTCGAGGGTAGATTTTGTTGCCTTGACGAGTTCGAAAGCAGGAGAGCTGGGCGGCTGAGGAGGAGGAGAATGAGGACAGTGAAGATGGCGAAGGAGGAGGAATGGTCATTGATGATGAATAAACAAGGAAAAGCAGAGGAGAGAAGGATGTCACATGCTCATGGTTCCTCAAGCGCAAAATGTTACCGCCCTGCTCAACCATTCCCTCTCCCTTCCCTCTCCCTTCCCTCCCTCCTCTCTCCCCCCTCTCCCCCGCAACTTGTTTGTCCTATTTGTCATTCTGGTTTTCGCGTTCCAAGTTTTCTGTTCAGATTCAATTCAGGGGGTGGGGGTATATGTACAACCGGTTCAATGAATGCATATTTCAGTAAAAGGTGGGGTAGGGTTAAGAGATAATCGCGTAGGGGTAGGTAGAGTTCACGAAGAATTTGGCGGGAAATGACAGAAACGAACGTGGCGAAATGGAAGAGAGAAGAGGGAGGGAGGGAGGGAGGGAGGGAGGGAGGCAGGCAGGCAGGCAGGCAGGGCTTCCAACCTCCAACTTGCCCATAGAGTATCGGCCATGGTGGCTCAAACGCGGCATCAGACTAGTGATGTATTCAGTCAGGTGTTGACTTCACTTGGATTGCAGGCAAGAGATCATGGAGCTAGACAGCGAGTTCTCTGACAAGATCCAAGTGCACGTTGAAGCTGTACTGCTCCCCAAGGCCTCCACGGCTCTTGCTGACTTGAAGAAGCGTATCGAGTCCTTCTTGACGACCAGGCATGCCTCCTTCTCCAACGGAGCCGTCACCATCATTGAAGATTCCTTCCTCTCTGCCAATCTCGCCGCTCTGCGGATCTGTGATGTGGATCTCGACGACAGGGTGGGAGAAGTATGCGCGCGAAAGGACGCTGACCATGTGCATGCAGGTCCCTGGTGGAACCGTCCCAGTGTGGCAGGCCGAGCTACACGTGCACATAGTCCAGCTTGACACCGAAGGAGCAGCAGACGAGTCAGACGGAGACATCACGTCATGTCAGATATGGATGCTGCCTTCCAAAGACTTCGATGGCTTGTGGGAGACTCTGATCTATGACATGGACGTCAAGAGAAACCTGCTTGACTACGCGCAAACAGCCATGTTCTTCTCCGATCGGTGAGACCTTGCGGTTGTGATCATCCTCTCTGACTTGGCGCCAGTCAAGTCGACCCCAATATCATCGCATGGAATCGCGTCGTTCTGCTCCACGGGCCCCCGGGAACGGGCAAGACCTCTCTCTGCAAAGCTCTTGCTCACAAGCTCTCCATCCGCATGTCGGAAAGATACCGGAGCGGGCAGGTGAGAGGAGGGCAGAGAGGGAGGGAGGGAGAGGCGGGAGGAGAAGGGAGGGAGAGTGAAGCGAGAGGAGGGAGGGAGAGTGAAGCGAGAGGAGGGAGGGAGAGTGAAGCGAGTGCAGCTGGTGGAAGTCAACGCGCATTCCCTCTTCTCGAAGTGGTTCTCTGAGAGCGGAAAGCTCGTCAACAAGCTGTTTGACACGATCCGGGAGTTCCTTGACGATGAAGAGGTAAGGACCTCGTGACTAGACGACGCGGTTTTCACTTGATGGCTGCAGACGTTCGTGTGTGTTCTGATCGACGAGGTCCTACCCCGTGTGGTCTCCCATCAGCCTCTCTGACTAACTAGCAGGTAGAAAGCTTGACAGCAGCCAGACAGTCTGCGCTCAGTGGGCAAGAGCCGTCAGATGCTATTCGAGTAGTGAATGCCTTACTAACGCAAATAGATAAGGTCCCACTTGTGTTTGCTGTGAGCTGATCTGACTTGGAGATCCGCAGCTGAAAGAGCGACATAACTGCATGGTCATGACAACAAGCAACATCACAGCTGCAATAGACCTCGCCTTTGTAGATCGAGCAGACATCAAACAGTACATCGGCCATCCTTCAACGCCAGCAATCTATCAGGTCTCTTTTGTTTCCTTCCACCCAGACTGTGACAGGAGAGGCAGATTTTGCGTTCTTGTATTCTAGAATTGATGCGCGTGGGAATTATATCCCCGCAGGAGGATCTGAAGGATGTCAGTCTCGTCGCGTCGCAACAAGCTGCTTCACCGGCCAGTCCCGATAACTCTATTAGATTGTATCATTGCGCTAGTCAGGTGATGATCTTCGTACTTGTCTTTTTGGAGTGCATGATGTTTTCACTTCTAACGGATGTGCGTTGCTTGCACAGGCACAGGGATTTTCTGGTCGTTTTCTACGGAAATTGCCGTTCCTAGCTCACTCGATGTTCCTTAGACGAAAGACAGCGAGCATGTCGATGTTCTGTGACGCATTGCTCAAAGCGATCAAAGCTGAGACCTCGGCACGTAGTCATGAATCGATCAATGGCAAGTAAAGGAGAATACAGAGCCTGATGGTTAACTTCAACGTCAAAATCTACATCTTATCTCATTTATTCATGTCAGAGCAACAACTCCGCCATCTCCTCTTACTAGAATCGAAAATTCGTGAGCAAAAAAACATGGCAAGCAAAGGGGGCGGTGTTGGATGTCAGTCGACGACTGAAAGGAGTCGAGCTGAGCTGGTTGCCCTCGACTGCAGGAGGGGAGAAGGATCAGGAGAACGTTGGGCAGGATCAAGTTTCATCAGCTCCTGAGAGAACTTTAGCCATCCTCGTCCCACTCTCACAACTCCTCACCTCAGCGGGGGGTGCACCACGAGCGGCTCCTGGCCTGAGCAAGAGTTACCAACAGCGAGTATGCTGTTGCTCTTCATACCAGTTGGGAAACAAGGTGGAGATGAAGGCGTCTGCTGCCGTGATCGACCACAGCTCAGTATGACGAGAGACCAGGCCCTGATCGATGAGGAGGCGGAGGTCAGGAAGCCACAGGACAGGAAGATCGCTTCACCTCCTCGTTCAGCTCGTAGAGCGTCACCCCCGTGTATGCCTTGACCGATGGCCTCCAGGGCAGCATCAGAGTCGCTTCTAGCCGCCACCTGCACCATCAGCAGTCAGTCGGCCTCTGGTGAGCTCCAACAGCATCAGCGTCACCTCGCGAGGACCGCAGAGTCGTCGACGGTCTCGATGGACAAGAGGTCGATGGAGGAAGACTTGGGCTCAAAGAGATGCGAAGTCGCATCGACGTACTTCCTCAGACCTCTCACCTGCGATCGAGTGCTCAACGGAGAGAGCAAGGGGCACACTTCCGCCTCACCGGCATGTCAGGGTCAGGAGCGTCGAAGAAGCAGTCGTTGGAGTAGATGGCCTTGCTCAGACGTCCCGTCACGTAATACCTTCTCTCAAGGAAGTCGTTTCGAATCACTTCAAGAGCCTCCGCAGCGCTGCCTCGACCATATCAGAGAGCAGCTCAGAGCGGCTCGAAGCATCACCTGCTCATTGGCTTCTTCTCCCCTGTCTCAGCAGCAGGCGAGAGGTTCAGAGACTTGTGCCTGGCAAGCACGAACCGTCCGACCACGAGAGCGGCTTCGAGCGCATCCACCTGAGTCTCGAGGATAAGAATACGAAAGTATGCTCGATATGGCTGACCGCTCGTCGTCTCCAGAATGGGCATCGAATCCTTTCCTTGTCATTCCAGGCCTTAGCCCATGCCTTGTCGAAGGACTCGACCCCCGTGATCTCCTCCCGCAACCCGGCACTCTCGTCTCGAAGCCTCGCATGTTCGCCCTCCCTCAATGACGAGCTAATCGCAAAGCCGCGGCGAACAGGAGGCGGCGACACCAAAAAGGATTTGGAGGGAGCAGGGAGAATGACCAGGATGAGGAAGAGAAGTTTGAGGATCGTCGCTCCCTTGGTGACGAGAGACATAGCGAAGAACAAGGAGGCTTGTGAGTCAGGATTAACAAGGTCGGAAGTTGAGAACGTCTTACTCCTCCTCCTGCTTCTCTCTGCTCAAATTCAAAAGTCCTCAGCTTTTCACCTCTCCTCTCCCCTCTCCTCTACTCTCCTCTTGTCTCCTCTCCTCTCGTCTGCTTCTTCTCTTGTCTCCTTCTTCGCTCCTCCTCTCTTCAGATCCTCATCCGCGCATCCACATCGCTACCCGTCATCATCCTACGTGGCCATGAATCCCGTCAGGCAGGACACAAACAGGAACTGCGTGGGGATGCGGGCTGAAAGACAGAAGAGGGGATGAGGGGTCCCATGAGTCGGAACGTACCTGGTACGAGCGGGGACGAGGGTCGAATCCCAGCGCTCAATGTGGAGAGGCAGGGTGTGGTGGCGGGGATCGCTTCGCCGATGGCTCAGCGGAGGAGCAGGAGGAGCAGAAGGAGCAGAAGGGGCAGGAGAAAAGGCTGTGAAACAAGTGAGGAGGGGCAGGAAGAAGGCCAGCAAGGTCTCGGGGGTTTCGGATCTCGTCAGGGTAAACTTGTGGTCATCGCCGCGATGCGCCTCGACGAGCTTGATGTACTCCTTCGCTCAGCGGAGCGACACCCAGGTGGTGGACGAGCCTCTCTATGCTCATTACCTCCGAAACATCCGCCCAGATGCCTTCAGGCCTTACAGGGAGGAGGTGCTGGCCGCACAGATCAATGATGGCAACGAAGTGGTGAGGAGGATCGTGATGGGGCCATTGGAGGGCAAGCGCGTTCTCTTCCTTAAGCACATGGCGAAGCATTTTGCCAAGATCGATGAGGACTTCATCTTCGAGACCAAGAACGTGATCCTCATCCGGCACCCCGTCCAGGTCCTCGCCTCTTGGAGCGCTACTTTGCAGGAGGCCAACACCTCGTACGATGACATGGGGCTCAGCGAGCAGCTGCTTCTTGTTCGCCGCCTGCAGGAGCGAAACATCAAGCCGATCATCATATCCAACGACAACCTCATCAACCGCCCCGAGGGAACCCTTCGTGCGTTGTGCTCGGCGCTTGAGATCGATTTCGATCCCCGAATGTTGTCCTGGCCCAAGGGCGGGAGGCCTGAGGATGGACTGTGGGGGAGGTACTGGTACCACAACACGCACGCATCCACGAGCTTCCATCCTGTCATGAAGACTCACAAGCACATGGACATCTCCCAGCTCTCCCTGAAGCTCAAGGTCGAGGCCGAACGCGCCATCCCCGAGTACGATCAGCTGGCCCGCCTGCAGCTCAAGCCCTCGCCCATCCTACCGGACGAGCGCAACAGAGACATCTTGGTCCACGTCGGGGGAGTTCTGAAGCCCCGGGAGGAGGCGAAGGTCAGCGTCTTCGACAGTTCGGTGCAGGGAGGAGATGCGGTGTGGGAGGGGCTGCGGGTTTACAAGTCCGTCATCCTCGACTTCGACGAGCACATACAGCGGCTGCAGGACTCCGCGCATGCTCTGCTGTTTGAGCACGTGCCGGAGAAGGAAGAGATCAAGCGCGCGGTCTTTGAGACCCTCCAGGCCAACGGCATGCGCAGCGACACGCACATCCGGCTCACGCTCACCAGGGGGGAGAAGGTGACGTCCGGTATGAGCCCCAAGAACAACCAGGCGGACTCGTGCCTCATCGTGCTTGCGGAATGGAAGCCCTTCATGGACTCGTCCGGCAAGAAGGTGTCAGGCATCAGGCCGCAGCGGCTCATCAGCTCCAGCATCCGGCGAAACTCACCGGCGTTCCTTGACAGCAAGATCCACCACAACAACCTCCTCAACAACATCCTCGCCAAGATCCAGGCCAACAATGCTGACGTTGACGACGCGCTCATGCTCGATAGCCAGGGGTTCGTGTCGGAGACCAACGCGACAAACTTCTTCATCGTGCGAGACCAAGTCGTCCTCACCCCCCGACCTGACAGCTGCCTGCCCGGCATCACTCGCGGCAGCGTGATCAAGGTGGCGAGGCAGCTGGGGATGGAAGTAGAGGAGAGGAACATCTCCTTGGCAGAGGTGTACACGTGCGATGAAGCGTTCACGACGGGGACGATGAGCGGCGTCCTGCCTGTCTCGGAGATTGACGGCAGGGCCATCAAGACGGCAGTCGGGCCTGTCACCAAGAGGCTGCAGCAAGAGTACATGAAGCACGCTTGCTCCAACGGCATTAAGTTGCCAAAGTTTTGAAGCAGCAGAGGTCGGAGGAGACTGGAGCCTTTCTAGGATTCCATCGCGCCTTGAATCTCCTCGAACTTTGCGAAGAGGGGAGGAGAGGGAGGACAAAGAAATTGTCAAAGAGGAATACAGCGATTTCAATCGATGTGAGGGTGTGTGACATGAAATCTTCTCTACTTTTTCTTCTTGCCTGAAGCATCCAAGTTAGCATGAGAGCAATGTAGCTGCTGCAATTTCAAACCTTTCGAGGCTTTCGACTTGATCCCCATTTTCTTGTTTTTCTTGTCCTGCATGAGCTTTTAGCCTCCTCTCCTCTCCTCCCCCCCTCTCTTTTCTCTAGACCCTCTGCCTCCTGCTCCCTCTGCCTCCCCTCGATGTCTACCTCAGCTCGCTTCTTGATGTTCTCCAGCTTCTCTTTGGCTTTCTTGGCTCGTTGATCTTCGATATCATTTGCCCTGAAGCCAGCATATGAGACGAGCAGCAGGCAGAGAGGAGATGATTGTGAATAGAGCAATAAGAGGAATAGAAGGAGTGCAGGCCAGAAGGGAAATGCACCTTTTGACCCATTTCTCTTTTGTCTGCAAAGCAGCAATGTCAACCTCTTTTCACATCACACTTCATCTCTGACCTTCGCCTTCATCTTCTGTTTCTTCTTGATCGTCTTGTTCAACAGCGTCTTGTCGTCCTTGACCTGACAGCCACCAGTCAGCGGCAGCAGAAACGTCTTCCTCTTCTCCTCTTCACCTTAACTCCTTGAGCTCGGTCGATGCTCGCCCCCATTTTTGTCGCTCCTGTCCTTACAGTTAAATATGAGCAGGAGCTGGAAGCATCCGCACCATGAAAGCTTTCCCCTCCTCGGTGTCTTTCCCCAGCATTTCCAGCTTCTTCTCCTTCTCCTCGAGCTTTGCAAGCAACTGCCTCTCTGCTGTCAGCATCCACGTGCGTTCCTGTTCGCCTCCTTGACCTTCTCGGGCTTGTCTCTGTACTTCTTGTTCTTATTCTTCCCTCCCCCGACGATTTCTTCTCCTCCCATCTTCATCCTGCCGAAGGTGAAGTCTTCCGTCTGGTGACAAGTGAGATGCTTACATGTCAGCAAGAGATCAGACCTTCTGCTCCGTCTCCTTCCTTTGCCTTTTCTCTTTGGGCATCGGCGAGGGGATTGGCACGAAGCTTTTGGACTTCTTGTCCTTCTCTTGCTGTTTCTTCTTCTTCTCCTTGGCTTCTTCTCGTTTTCGTTTCCTGCTTTCGGCTCGCTCGCTCCTTCCCTCCTTTCTCTTGGGCTGTAGTGCACTCATCTTCTTCTCCAGTAGCTCCTTCAGCTCAGCTGGGGTCTTAGCTCGAACCCCCGGCACAACTGCCTTCCTGGGCTGCTCGCTTGACATGTCAACCTCTGAGTCATCCTCCGATTCTTCTCCTTCGTCGCTATCTGACCCCTCCTTCGCCCCCGCTTCACCACCCGTTCTATCCACGGCAAACTTGGCTTTCTTCTTGGCGCTTTTCTCCGCTCTCAGGACTTTCTCGCTCACAGTCTCTTTCACCTTCTTCTGGTACTTGAGAGGCTTCGATCGCTCGGCCACGTCTGGCACTCTGTAAGTGTCGGCGGGGATCAGGCTGACGAGGTAGTTCATATCCTGGCAGCTCTCAAGGATCAGCTCATTCAACTTCTCGTCTGTCATCGTGCTCATATCATCCGTTGGTTTCCGGCTTTCTCCCTTTGCAGGCGTCTCCTCCTTTGTCTTCTTCTTTTTCATTGAGTTCTTTTGGGCAGCCATCTATCAAACATCACATTCAGTTCAATGTGCAGCCCCATCTCTCCCGGTAAGATTTCCATATCAAACACTTGTCCATAATAGGAATGCGCACTATTATTACACCTGCTTCGTCACCGCCACTTGTGTCCGATTGATTCTTCCCCTTCCTATCTCTCTCTCTCATTCACTAGGATTCGGTCACATAGTAGGCTGTAATCTGCTCCCTGCTCCCTGCTTACAGCAGCATACCTTCTCTGCCCTGAACGAATCACTACTGCTGTTTTCGTCCAAGTCGTACTTCTTTCTCCTGTGCTGTGCTGTGCTGTGCTGTCCTGTCCTGTCCTGCCCCTGTCTTCCCCTGATTCTTTTTGATCGGCTGCATTATCGCACGTGAAGTGTTTCCGTTCTCTAAACCGTTACGAGACTGGTCCAATCGTTACATCATTTTCCGTTGTTCCGTTTCATATTAAGTACCCTACCCACATATCTCCACATTACTTCAGGGAATCAGAAGGGGTCATTTTTTGAAGGGGTGTTCAGATAGGAATGTTGAGGGGTAGTCCAGCGGGGGTTCGAATGGCTGCAGCACGACCTACCCCTTGTCTTGGACCAAGTTCGGGTACATCACCCGTCATTCTTACTACCCTACCCATGTCTTATTCATTTAATTCATATGCAAAGTACCCCATAATCAGCAAAGTAAATTTGTATGACCCTTCCACCATACTACCCCTACCCAGGGGGATAGACTTTCGAATCTTTCCCGCCTTTGTGGTTTGCATCACCCAACCCTTGAATTTTAGTACCCTACCCCTATTTGCATTGAATGTACCGGTACATTCTGTAGTTTTTTTATGATTCTTTGTAGGGTACATGAGTGACCCTCACCCTGGAAAATAGTACCCCTACCCACTCCTGGGTCACCTTGCCCATCATGGCGGAAGCTGGAGTCGGGGGGGAGAAAGGAATGGAAGGAGAGTGGGAGGGGAAGAAGAGCAGAGAGGGATCGAAGTATGGACGTGACGACGAGAGGAGAGGAGAGGAGAGGAGAGGAGAGGAGAGGAGAGGAGAGGAGAGGAGAGGAGAACTGAATTCACTTGGAGCGCGGGGAACTGTTGTGTCAAACAAGCAGGTTCTAGTAAGGGAGGCCTTGCAGCAGATCTTGAAGAGGAGCTCATGACAGTGAAGGATTCCATGCTCCATGCGCAACTGATACCTGGAACCCCGGGTTCAATGAGGAGAGGAAGTAGGAGAGGCGAAGAGGGATGACCACGAAATCGAGAACTGTGGGCACAAGGTTGAACATTGACTTGAAGCAAGCAAGGATAGCCGACAGCTGTCAGCTAGGAGCACGTAGAGATGGGAACCACAGCCTGGACTAGCAGGTACAGTCTCACAAGTTGAACAAGATTTCTCGTAGATGCTGGAGAGATAAACACCATGAGTGCCCGATTAGAATGTTTGAGCAGGTTCGAGACTGTACTGGACGGCAGCAAACTTGTAGTCTTGTGTCGATCCCTTTCATCCAGCTGCCCGTTTTAATCCTCCATGCTGAACTCAATGCTCATGGCTGGCCTCCATTCTTCTGACGAGAGCTGAACAGGAGAAGATGCAACTGAGTGGCATCAACCACTAGTCCACCTGCTCTCGTTGCAGAGGGTGACAATGTTTTATGATGAAACACACTATCCTTAACATGTATTCAAGGCCGAGACTCTCCCATCATGGATGAAAAGTTCAGTTTGCTGTCACAGCGATGGTCGAAGATCGCATGGGTGAGCTTCTTGTGCTGGGCGTGCTTGAGAGTGAGGGTGCTGTAGGCCTGCCCGGTAGCTCAAACGGTCAAGGAAGGAGCAGCTAGCGCCGCATACGTGTTCCAAGTGAGAAGTTGCTCAACTCTCATCGTGTTGGGCTGAGAGTTGCTCAAGGTCTTCGATGTCCTCAAGATCCCCATCCCCGAGACTTGTCTGAACTTGGCGTCGAAATCCGATTTCTCCGTTGAGGTTTTACTTGTGCCGGTGCCCTCCGATGTTGCTCACTGAATTTTGTCAGCTGCATTTGAATGCAACCCTGTTTGATACCTCCAGCTCTGTTTTCTTCGGGTGAGTGCGAACAGCTCTTGAGTCATCGATGACGATGAATATCGTAGCAACACCTGGTCTGGTGGCAAGATTGAGTTGAAGTCATGCCTGCAAAAGATCGAAGAAAAGGTTCCTTGACATGTTCTGACTTTTTCACCTCTTAAGTCTCCATAGACAAGAACTCAACATGGACCCTGCATGGTCTGCCAGCTGAAGATGCCGGAAGGCTATGGATTTGTGTTCCACAGCTCGCAAGACCTAGACAAGACCGTTCTTGCAGGTCTATCTCGTGACGGTCCTGACGCTCTGCCCTGACCCTCCGATCCTCCTCCCCAGTTGAGGTCGTGGTGAGCATGACACAGAAGAACCCGATCAGAGTCGATCAGCTGGGGTTGTGCTGGAGTCTGGTCCACCTTCACCCCAGCGGAGAATTTGAGAGTTTCTCGCTGCCTCGGGACGAGCCTAGCTTGAAATCAAGCGCGCTGATGATGGGAAGCCCGCGGCTGCTGGTCCTGGCGAAGTTCAACTTGAACGACTTCAAGAGTTTCGTGCTCAAGGTTTGCAGCTGCGCTCTTCTCCTCGTGGTCTTACGCCTGTGAAGCAAAACTCTTCCTTCCGATACATCTGCATGTCATTCGCCAAGGCGAGCAATGTCCTCACGGAGCTTCTGGCTCCGAATCAACTTTGTGGTGAGGGGAGGGAAGGACAAGGAAGAGGAGAGGAAGGCGGGGGCGAGAGGAGAGGAAAGGGGGAGGGAAAGAGAAGAGGAACACGGGTGTGTGGGTGGGGGATGTTAATGGCAAGGTTAGGAGGGGCGGAGAGAGGAAGAAGAGGGGAGGGGAGGGCGTGCGCTTACCCGAGAGCAGGAGGGACGGATCCTGTCATGTCCACCATCCCAGGAATCACAGCAGGAGGTCAGCTGGGACCAAAGTTTTCAAATATCAAAATGATGCCGTCGCATTCTCTGAAAGTGAAGAACCTCGCCGTCAAGGTTTGCAAGCTCCAGTCTGCTCGCTCATCAGTGACGTCGGACCTCAGAACTTGACTGTCGATGCCCAGACAGTCCGTGTTGAGCTGGGACTTCACAATGGCAGGCGCTTCCTGGGTGCCCAACCCCTGGTGGCATGCACACTGACGAGGACAGGAAGCGAGTGGTCCAGCAAGGAAGACATCGTTCTCAAGGTGAGATGGGAGAGGATCAGGAGCTGATCGTTGCTCATGCTACCGCAGAACTTCATGGCTGTCAACTCAGCTCCTCTCCTCCTCCTTCTCTTCGCAGATTCAACCTGTTTGGGGTGATGAGCAGCTGGTCATCTCGTCATCCTCTGAGTTTGTCTCAGGTGGATCTGCGCAGCTCTGGTAGAGGAGGACGACGGCCCCGTGCTGGCAGGAAGATACCAACTCTCGATGAACACCGGCAAGTTGCCACCTAGCGTGAGCACCTTGAAGATTTCTCGCAAAGGCAAGCTGCTCTTCATTTCAGATCCTTGTTTCCGTTGTCGTCCTACTTCCTCCTTGCCCTCCTGTCGCTCCTCTCGCTCGCTCGCTCACTCACTCACTCTTCTTGTCAGACATCGCAGCCCTGGTCACATTCCAGGTGGAGGCAGGAGACAATCTCAAAGTTGCCGATGTTGCTCAAGCTGCAAAGGTCTCTCGACTCCTCCTCTCTTCTCCTTCTTTGACCTCACTCCTCGTCCTCAGGATCTCAAGCGCGCAGGCAGCAAGCCGGCGCCGCCAGTCTCGAAGCCCAAGTCTCCTTCAGTGAGCGGATCGGACGAGGAGTCTGTGTCAGCAGAGACAGCATCAGAGACTCAGGAATCGGAAGACCAGGCCACACCGCGAGCTGAGGCTGGCAGGGCTGCGGGCGAGGGCGAGGGGGGGGATGGCGAAGGAGAACTTTCCTTAATCTGCTCCCTTGCCCACATCCCTGGAAGCAAACTCGACTCGAAGACAATCAGGGGCATCGACTGGGAGATCAGCTTCCCCGAATTGAGCAAGGTGACATTCCCTCCTCCTGCTCCTCCTGCTCACCTCGGGAACAGATTCTCAAGGAAGAGATAGGAACAGACGCCTACATCTCCTACACTCCTGTCGACGAGAACAACCGGGCTAAGTCTCCTATCCTCGTGGACAGGTCTGCTCCTCCCTCTCCTTCGCCTCCTCAACTCATCTGCAACTTGAAGCGCTGCCAAGCTCGAAGCCTTCTTGGATTACTTCTTCAACGAGCAACCCGACGGCGATTCGACTCCTGCGAGGGTTCATGTCACCTGCTTTCCGAAAGACGGTGTGTTGTTGACATCGCTCCTCGCACTCCACTTACAACCTGATCAGCGGCGGCGGCGGCGGCGGCGGCGGCACCACCAGCAGCGGCAGCAGCAGCGGGAGCAGCAGCAACACCAGCAGCAGCACCAGCAGCGGGAGAGGGAGCAGTTGCTACTCAGGGCCTGTCTGCTGCCAAGGAAGAGAAGGGATCGCGACATGAGCGAGAGGCTTCAACTTCTCCAGCTGAAGCGTCCAAGGGGACGGTTGAGCATGCGCGCCATGAGGAAGGAGGGGGGGCTGCGAAGTCTCACCGTCAGGAGAAGAACAGGTCCCAGCAGGTCAGCGAGCAGAGTCATCGGGATGCTGCCGAGCGAGGGCAGCAGGGACACGGAGGGAGAGCAGCATCCCCTGCTGAAGCAGAGGGAAGGAGGAGCAGGAAGTCTGGAGAAGCTGAGCTGCCACCTCCGTCCTCGTCGAGCACCCGACGAGGAGGAGACAAGGAGGAGCACAAGGAGCTGAGAACGTTCGAGATCTTCTTTCCGGACTCCACCACCAGGCTCAAGGACTTCTCTGTCAGCACCTCCTGGGCTGAGGCTCGCGATCGGATCCACCGGCTGCACGGCAGCGGCGGCGACATGCTGTGGACTGATGGGTCGGGCAACCAAAGGAGACTGAGCAGCGAAGGGAGCTGGCAAGACCTCATAGAGGAGCTCCAGTTCGACTTTGCTGGCTCGAAGACGCTGAACGGAGTGGTGAGGGTGAAGATCCTGGCGCGAGCTGCTGAGTCCCCGCTGGGAGGCGAGAAGGTCGATCGGAACTTTAACATCAACATCCCGAAGGGAGACCGAAGGCACGCTGAACGCGTGCTTTCCCCTCCTGACTCCATCGAGGAGGACAGCCGCGAGCGGGAGGATGTGGATATCTACCGCTCTCCTCGCTCCGCCTCCAGGAGTCAGGTCCGCAGTGAAGGAAGAGGCCACAGGGGAGCAGGCAGGCAGATTGTGAGCACGGACACAAGCGAGGTTGACACGGACAGAGGGGAGCGAGAGGTGTCGAGGAGGGTGAGGAGAGGCAAGGGATCTCACGGGCACGTCGCCATGGACGAGGCGCAAGAAGCGGCGGAGCAGGACGAGGAGGTGAGACTGGCAGACAAGCAGGTGGGGGAGAGCTTCGCCCCTCTCTCCCGTGCTCTCAAGGCGCTGCTGCTGCGAACCAGCATCCGGGACCTGGTGCCCAACTACTTCAAGGAGGTCCCGCTGCTGGAGTCCTCCATTCCTTCCTCCTCCATCGACCTGGGCAAGGAGGCTATGGACAACGTGAGCATGCAGACTGTCGTCCTGCACATCCTCGCGGTGAGGCTGCCGGGTGAGCACAGGCGCTTGTCCTTCCGCTCTCACTTCTACAACTCTGATCCATTCGAGACGCTGCCTGCCTGCATCAAGAGCGACGGCCAAGAGCCCGCGGGCAAGGAAGACAAGCCTCAGCTCCTCGTGCTGGAGAGCGCGAGCAAGGTGGAGGCGGATCAGAGCGCGGGGATCGTGCTCTCGTTCCAGGTGGACCTGAGGAGGGAAGGGAAGGACCTGGTCGACTCGAGGCTCAGCTTCGCCAGGTTCTTGTCCTCCAAGTCGATGCAGGTCGAGGTCTGGGACGCGGACTCGTCGCTTCCCATCGGCATCATCCCCATCGACCTCAAAGTCTTCCTGCGGCAGGGGAGAGAAGCCCAGCAGTCTGCTGGCGAGTACTCCATCCTGGAGTTTCTCAGCTCGCAAGGAGGAGCGGACGCCTCCCCAGTCCAGCAGAGTACCGACGAGGCCCCCTTCCTCCCCAACAAGGTTGGCAGCGCCTTCATGCGCTTCGTCTCTGTGGGCTTCTCCTCTGCTGCTGCTGGGGGGGCTGCTGCCGAGGTCCCCAGGGAGCCGCGCGGAGCTCAGATGCCCGACCATGGCAGCCGCGTGCTGCCCCTTACGGAGGAGGCGACCCAAGGAGGCAGCGAGGGGAGGGAGGAGGATCACCCCCACGTGGCCCTGAGCCTGCTGTGCGCATACAAGGAGGAGATGCAGGCGCTGCTGAGGGAGCGAGGGGTGGAGGTCAAGGTGTCGGCAGACGAGCTGCAAAAGGCGATGATACAGCTGAAGCAGCTGTCCTCCGTCCTCTCCGTGCGGCAGATCTCGGCCTTCTGCTTCCGCCTGTCAGAAATGTTCCAGCCGGACGGGAGGATCGACCTGGAGGCCATCGACCTCAGCGGGCACGCGATCATCTCTGACAGGGTCCACGACAAGAGTAGAGCCCAGGCCCTCCGCCAGCATGCTCGCCAGATGCTCGGGCTGATGACCGTCAGGTTCGGGTCGGTGCGCAAGTGCCTGCACAACTTCGCGGAGGGGGGGAGGATGACGTTGAGTGCGTACAAGAGCATGGTGCACGAGCTGGTGAAGCTGTCGGGGCTCAGCCCGGGGCTGCATGACTCAGACGTGAGCGCCTTCCTGGAGCTGATGGGAGCGCAGCCGGTGGATGTGACGGCGATGGAGAAATTCTTCGAGGTGAAAGTGAGCGACAAGAAAGCGCCGGGGCTGGAGGAGGTGGACCGCAAGAAGAACGCGCGATGGCAGCGGCTCAAGGCGAGCCGGCGAGGGGAGCGGAGCGCGAGCGAGGAGGAGAAGCATCTACTGGTGGAGGCGGCGCGTCTGTACCGGGAGACGCACAAGGACTCCAAGATCAAGCAGATCCTCGAGAGCAGCATAACGACAGAGGAGGTGATCTTCCCGTCCTTCGGGGAGGTGGTGTTCCTGCAGTACCGGCTGAGGAACCCGTACTCGGAGGAGCGAGTCATCGGCATCCGCATGGACGACGAGGAGCTGCAGCTGGTGACGGACGTGGAGGAATGGAAGCACCTCAACAAGATCTTCGGCGTCTCGGGGGTCGTCGAGTCCGACATGGTGGCCAAGGACCGGCGAGTCTTCAACGTCTGGCTGCAGGCGCACCAAGAGATTGTTGTCCCCTTCAAGTTCCGCTCGCTCGCCAGCTCGCTGACTCATCGAGAAGCGGCTCCTGCTGGCTCCATGACCCGATCCCTCGCCGAAGTCTCCTCCTCCTCCTCCTCCTCCTCCCCTCCAGTTCTCCGCGAGAGGGACATTCACGTCACCTTCGTCGCCCGCCGCAATGGAGTGGCAGACGTGGTCCTGTACAACTATGTGATCAAGGTGAAGCCAAGGAGATTCGTCATCGATCAGGTCAAGGCCAACCCAGCGCTCCTCCTCTCCTCTCCTCCCCTCTCCTCTCCTCTCCTCTCCTCTCCTCTCCTCTCCTCTCCTCCCCTCTCCACTCATCCCCCCTCCCCTTCCCTCCTCTCCTCTCCTCTTGTCTCCTCTCCTCTCCTCACTCTCCGCTCTGACATCGCTCTTCTCAGGTTTTCAACTTTTACAACGGTCAGAACGATTTCCTCAAGAAGAAGATCGTCGTGGACTCGAGCAGGTGAAGGATCCGCTGGAGGTCAGCTGGAGTCTGACGTCTTCGCAGCTCGCCCTCCCTAGCAGGCTGGAGGTTCCCGTCAAACTCGTCAGTCGCCCGTAGCTCCAGCGCGAGGAAGTTCACGTGGACCAGCGACCCTGCCGTGGTTGTCCGGTCGATACCGCACGCCAGCGACTCGCAGGTGGAGGACGTGCACATCAAGTACAGGTGCGAGGCAGCTGGGCGAGTCGCCTCGTTCTTCGTCATCCTCTACAACGACGAGTACCTCGCGTCCGTCTTCGAGATCTGGCAGGTCAACATTCACTCCATGAATCGGCTCGACGTCCAGGGGCTTGTGGGGCAGGTGGAGCGGGAAGGATGCAGCATCACACTCCGTTGCCGCGACAGCGTCAGACACGTCAGAGGCTTCTCGTCCCATCCCTCCGAGTTCGAGCTCGATGTGAAGGAGCCCATGAGCATAGGAGATGTGAGAACACCTAAACTCTCTCCTCCTCCTTCCTCCTTCCTCCTTCCTCCTTCCCCTTCTGACCCCTTCCCCTTCCCCTTCCCCTCGTTCTCCTCCTCCTCCTCCTTTCCCTCTTTCTCCTTGGCTCTGCTCCCTCCTCTTCATCTCAATTGTTCCCCTTCTCCTACTCATTTCCCTCTTGCCTCGCCCTCACTGTCTTGCTTGCCAGGCTCTCACGGAAATTCCCTTCCGATATCATCCCATGAGGGCAGGCAAGCGCGACATCCTCGTCAACTTCGTGGATAGCGGTGAGTTCCTTTCAAACTTCTTTCCTCCGCCCACTCTTCTTCCTTCCCCCCCTCTCCCTCCCTCTCCCCTCCCCCCCCTCCTCCCCCCCCTCTCCCTCCCTCTCGTCTCACTTCGTTCGCCCTCTAGATGTGCGAGGGCCTCCGCTCTACCGCTGGCTCGTGTGTGCGCGAGCGAAACTTCCGCTCATCTCCAAGAGATACGAAATCTCTATCGTTGCCAACAAGGTGAGAGGAGGAGGAGGAGGAGGAGGAGGAGGAGGAGGAGGAGGAGAGGTGACGGGCTCGCAGGCAAGCAACAAGAAGATCATGTACACGAACCCCTACAGCATTCAGCGAACTTTCAGGCTGAGGACTAACCGACCTGACCTACTGAGCTTCAAGGACAACCAGGTCGGAGGAGTGAGGAGGAGGAGGAAGGGAAGGAGTGAGGAGGGTGAAGAGGAGGTGGCTGACCTTGCTTTCTCTAGCCTGAACTTCACATCCTCCCTCGTGGACAGCAGTACATCGGGCTGAGATTCGGTGCTAGGAAGGCAGCGGGACAGGTAGGTGGAGGAGAGAGCCAGGAGAAGACTGATGAGGAGACAGGAGGAGGTTTTGGTCTTCATCAACGACGAGGAGGACAAGAACGAAGAGGTACGAACAAGGGAGATGAGATAAGAGAGGGGGAGGGGGGGGGAGTTGAAGGGAGCAAGGGAGGCAGATGGAGGGGGAGGAATGAAGTAAGGGGGACAAGAGGAGGAAGGGAGGGGAAGGGGACGAGGGGGGAGTGGAGGAAGTAGAAAGAAAGTA